GTTTGTTGCTGCGCAGCGATGACAGGCCACTTTGGAGAAAATGCAGCCAGATGAGGAAATGTGTTATTTTCCTTGTTTTCCCCCTCAAAATAAAGTTTGTTGTTAACTTCATTACTTAAATCTTTTGCTTTACTCACCATCACTTGTGTAAAAGGACTGCGGTCCAGCGCAGGTTTCTGACCCGCTGTTCCAAACTCCAGTGTATTTACACGTGTTTAGTTTTTTTCATGGTCATTTAAAAAGTAGTTGGATTTACTGTGATCATCATTCCTAATAAATGATTTAAATAAAACAATCACAGGTGAAAACTTCATTAATTAATTGTTGCTTGATGATGAGTCGATACAGGTAAAGCTTGATGCGTAATTAAACTTTGTTATAAAAAAAAGTCTAATCATTGCTAATTAAACTTAGTAGACCAAATCTGTTTTTTATGAGACGGGAAAATAAAACAAATGATTAACAAAAGTAACGTCCCTCTTTTTCCTCAGAAAATATGCTCCAAATTCTAACACTTGGATTCAGAAAATTTATTTCCACTCCACTCACAAGCGGCTGCTGATGAACTCAAAAATATCTAAAGAAAAAAAAAATTAAAACCTCATTATTCATGACTGCAGTTTGTTTTATTTTATTTTTTCATTTTCAAAAGAAAAACGTTAGTTACAGCTTTTCCAGATCTGATGACTGTCAATGTACCTGCTGAGATTACCGTGTGGCAAAACTGAACATGTGCGCCTGACATTCAAGGTGCGCGCGAACAGAGAGTGCAAGGTGGCAACAAGCCCCCACCACCCCCACCTATAAAATGAATCCTGCGCCGCTGCACTGTGGCATTGTTTCGATAAGCTTCTGCAGTGTCACAAGATTTATTTCCATCCAGTGTTGCATTAATTTTTCACCAAGATCTTGCATTGATGATGGTAGAGTCTGACCTTCTCCAGCTCATCCCAAAGATTCTCATGGACTCTGTGGAGCCAATCCATGTGTGAAGATGATGTCTCATGCTCCCTGAACCACTCTTTCACAATAAGAGCCCCATGAATCCCGGCATTGTTATCTTGGAATATGGCTGTGCCATCAGGGAAGAAACAATCATTGATGGAATAACCTGCTCATTCAGTATGACCTCATTCTTTGAGCACAAACTGTTGCTGAACCAAGACCTGACCACCTGCAGCAACCCCACATCCAGACCTAACTCCAGAGGAATTTAGTTGGGGGCTCGTAAATAGTGAATTAATTTAATATAAATGCATTAACCCACACACACACACATGTTCGCACAGCTATCCAATTGGGGACATTCCATTGACTTCCATTACATTCCTACAGCCTAACCCCCCACACACACACACACACACACACATGACTTAAACAGTGGCATGTAAGTGTGCATCAGTCACCAGAATATGCTGAGTAATTGTGGTCAGGTTAGCATAAACTTTAGCTCAGACATAGCAGAAATCTTAGAAACAAGTCAGCCCTGCATTATAATCATTGTTTAAAACACATAAACTCCAGAAACCTGAAGGCAGCTGTACATGAACCTCTCCTGAAATTACCTAATATTTATGAAAAAAACTGAACATTTTCAACTTTTCCACCCTTTTTTTTTAGCAAAAAAAAAAAAAGCAAATAAAAAATGAAAAGCTCTGTGAAAAATCCTTTATGCAACATAAATGAACTCAAACATGGTATTTTCTGTCTCTGTGGTGAAACAGCACCTGGCTACACTTGCCTTGCTAAGACTGGAGGCGTGGTAGCATTGGGCCTCATGCAAGAACATGTTCGTATTCTTATCCTAAATTTCTCTTACTTTTGTTCGTACAAAGGG